AATGTGTAAGAAATTTTTTGAAATTTTGAACTAAAAGTGCCGCCTGTATAATTTTTGAAAAATCATAATTTTTGTATTAAAAAATGGTATTTTTAATTTTTTTGATCATTTTAGTTATTCTTCAATTCAAAAACTAACTAAAGAAATCGTAGAATTTTGCCTATGAAGAAAAAAAATATTTTTGAATTTTTAGAAAAAAAAACAAAAAACTTTTTTGAGTATCTCAATATGAAATTTTTTTTATTGAGACCTTATTTGCAGTGTAAAACAAAAACATATAGTTTGATTTTTTAGAAAAAAAACTCTTGCTGTTTTTTCTACTTCTTTACTTAAAACATTAAAATTTTCTGAAAAATAAAATCTATTTTTTTACAAAAAAATCCCAATGAAGGAAAAGGAAAAAAACAGTATTTGGTGTTTGATGTTTTTTTAATAACAATAACAATATTTTTTTCTTTGTAATCCGGACATACTGTACAAGTTGTATACTAACCACTAAAAAAGTCTCAATTCAAAATTTTATACCTACTTTAATATTTTTGTTTTAAATTATTTAGCGCCAAAAAATTGAAATTTATTTATTATACATTTTTTTAAAATACGTTAACCTACAAAATAAGGTAAAAATTATCAAAATCCAATCATTTTTGGCAAATGTGTTAGTTATAAGAAGATTGTGTACTCTAAAAATGAATTAGTCAAAAATGACTACTTTAATAGTTATTAGTGGCTGATTTTTCACTTGTACCATGGTTAACCAGGGAATACCATTGTATCCCAAAATTTAACAGTCAATTCTTATGTAAAATTGTCCCCTGAATCCGAAAATGTCGTCAAAAGTTAAAAAAGTAGAACAGTTATGATATATAATTAATTTTCCATTTATTTATTTATTTATTTATTTATTTGTACCCAACAGGCCCAGGGCCCAATAACAGGATTACGTTTTTATACATTTTAATATGGAATTGACGATATCTCAAAAACTGATCCACTTTTATAATTTTTGACGGTATTTTCGGATTCAGGGGACAATTTTACATAAGATTTGGCTGTTAAATTTTGGTATACCATGGTATTAAATTAGTCATTTTTGACTAATTCATTTTTAGACTAAGCAAATAGTACAAATAGTTTTGGGTACATTTTAAAAAGTCCTTACACATATATAAATAAAAATAATTAAGAAAAAAGAAAATAAATTTTAATTTTGAAAAACAAAATTAATGCAATTGAACAATTTAAAATGGAAAGACTCGCGTATGGATTAAAATATTATTCTAATAATTTTCAAAAATGGCGAATGCGCCGGGATTAATAGCAATAAAATTCATCATTAATTTAATGATTTATTATAATAATAAATCATAGCTTGTTTTTGGTTGTTATAATGTAAAACTAATGACAACAAGTTATTAGTTATTAGTTTCACATTATATCAACCAAAACAAGCTAAAGTAAAAAATAGTTTTGGGTACATTTTAAAAAATCCTTACACATATCTGTGGGTAAAAGGCATAAGGGGATAAGTCAAAACAATCAATTTTTTAGTAGTGCCTTAAACGTGTTTGCATTAATTTAGGAAATACATTTATGGTCAGCGGGTATATCCTTTTGCCAGCACATGTCATATGCTAGCAAAAGGGTGTACTCGCTAACCATAAATATATTTCCTGAATTAATGCGAACACGTTTACACGGTGGATTTTTAGGGTAAATTTTCGGATCATCAGGCAACCACGGTTTTTTTTCATAAATCGATTATATGCCTGTTATAGACAAAAAATACCAAAAATAAAAAAATCTCTCGGTTTTTTTGTTTTTTATTAAGAAAAATATAATATAAATGGGTCTAATTTTACTTTATTGGTTATTTTGCATAAAGTATCAATTTTATCGAAATTCTGTTTTAACAGTGATATAGAATATTAAATTTTCTACAAAAAAGGTTACAAGCATTTTCTTTGTGAGTAATATCCGTACAAAGTTATAAATTTTTTAAAAATCGCATTTGCTGGTTCTTGTAATTGGAATTCCATTGACACATAAAAGTGGATAAAGTTTCTACATTATAAAGTAATTTTTTATATATTTTTTATTGTAGAGTGGAAATTAGAAAGGGCCTAAGTGCCAAAAATAAAGTTTTGAGATAATCAAAAAAAACTAAATACATCCCTCGACATACTCGGCTAGCCGCGGCTGTAAATTGTAATTTTGGCAATTAGAATTTTTCATAGGTTGCAAAGCATGGCACAGAGAACCTTTTTATGTAAAAAAGCCTTTTCTTATTTCCTCTCTTCAATTATATATAATAATACTTAGAATTAATAATATTTAATTAAGTCGAAAAAACGTAATGTATAATACAATTTTAAATTAACTTTTCTTATTTTAATAAATAATTTAACTTAATTTTTTGGTTCTTACCACTTAAAATCTTGAAAAACTTTTTTTTCGGGTTTTGACGTTTACATTTTGCTTGGGTAACTATGATTAAAAATTAAATATCGTATCACATTGTTTAAAAAGTAGATTTTTTTATTTCTTTTTACTGAATTTTTTTTAATTCTATGCTTCTTTTATCGATTTTTTCTTAGTCATAAAGTATTACAATCGAAAAAGAGATCAATTTTTAAAAACTTATCTGCAGAAAGGCCGACCAACAAATTTTTTTCCCAAGTTAAATAAAAAAAATTAAGCAAATCATTTGTTTAGAAAAACTACGTTTAAAAATTACAGGAAAGCAAATATGGTAATAACCTTTTTTGTAGAAAATTTATTATTCTATATCTTTGTTAAAACAGAATTTTGATAAAATTGATACTTTTTGCAAAATAACCAAAAAAGTAAAATTAGACCCATTTATATTATATTTTTCTTAATAAATAACAAAAAAACCGAGAGATTTTTTTTATTTTTGGTAATTTTTGTCTATAATAGGCATATAATCGATTTATGAAAAAAAACCGTGGTTGCCTGATGATCCGAAAATTGACCCTAAAAATCCACCGTGTTTAAGTCTCTACCGAAAAATTGCTTTTTTTGACTTATTCCCTTATGCCTTTTACCCACAGATATATAAATAAAAATAATTAAGAAAAACAAATGACAACAAGTTATTATTTATTAGTTTCCTATTATATCAACCAAAACAAGCTAAAATAAAAACTATTTTTTACTAATTTTACAAAAAAAAATTACCAACGCCAACTAGGTTTGATAAAATGAATATTTGGAACTATACAGGGTGTCATATAATAAATTGTCATAAAACCTTTGAAAAAAACTAAATTTGAAAATAAATATTTATACCTACACTCAGGCAAAAAAATATTGGAAATTGCAATGTTTTTTTAAAAAATCCATATTTTCCACAAAAATAATTATATCGAAGTGAACCAAAAAAAAATGTTCAGAATAGACGTGACTTGTTAATTAAAACTTAATTTAGAACAATATGCAGTTTTGCCTTAAACTTATGGTAAAAACATCTTTTTGTTTAAACCTGTATATTATAAACGTACGTCTATTTTTTAGTAATTTTTAAAATGTGAGCGATTGTCCATTAATTTATCTACAATATTCTTTAATATTCGTTTAAATCCGAAATCAAATAAAAAGTTATTTGCGATTGAAATTCATCGAAAATTTGTGTGGAACGATTATTTTGCCTGTGAGTGTAGTTATAGTCTCAACCTAAATTAATGATTTTACTGCAAGTAACTTAATAATAAATTGTAAAAATAAATTAGGCAATGTAGTTTTCTATTTAAACAACCCAAACAAGTAGATACAAACTGTACTTAGGCACTAAAACACAAACAAAATGTTATGTACACGTCTTAAAAATCAAAATCATAAAAAAACAATGTAAAAACAGCACATGTACAGAAAACAAGGTTTTATTAAATCCATAGAAAAACAATTGCTTTAGTCACATCATTTAGGGCCGGTTTTTCAATCATAGTTTAAACTTGGTTCAGCATTTGAACTTGGTTCAAACAAAATATGCCGTTTTTCAATCAAAGTTCAAGCTTAAATTTGGTTTAAACTAAATCAAAAGATGAACCGTCACTGTTGGCCGTTTAAACGAAGTTCAACTTGACATAACTTAATTTTTCTCTGCTTTTTTGTGTATTACGTTGTTTATTTCTTGTTTTGTGATCTGCTGTTATAATAAACCAATGGATATGTTTGAAGTAGTTAGTGAGGATGATGAGGAAATTGGCGAATTCCTAAATAATATTCAACTTCGTGTGCACAGGCCACGGGTAAGACCGAATCATTTGGAAAGGTTGAATAATGATGAATTTTTTGCCAGATTTCGGTTTTCCAAACCTTTTGTACGTAGGATAGTGGATTTAATTTGACCAGTTATTGCAAATAGGTTAGTTATAAAAATAATTACTGAATAGGTAATAGATTTTAGTAAAATTGATCACATGTAACAAAAAACGACAAATTCATTTTATACTATAAAACGAAATACATACAAATAATTTCTCCTTAAAAGAGGTAAAGTTGGCAGCACGATTTTAATCCTTAATAAATAATAATTATTGTTCTTCAACAATAGTAAATTGTTTTAAAGCAACCTTTCGCACAGATTAGAACTTTTTAAAACAGCACAGATAAACAAAACTCCAAAAGTAAACACAAAATCCTTTTGTCAAAATGACAGTTTTAACTACTATTAAAGTAGGCGTATACTAAATTCGGTTGTACCAACTTAACGTTGACACCGCTGATCTAAGTTCAACAGAACTGCTGTTGAGTCGACATTGAAAAACTCATTTGACTGTGAACTGAGTTCATTAACTGATCTAAGTTCCCCTGAACTAAGGTTTAAACCCTAATTGAAAAACCGGCCCTAAGGCATTCCAATTTACCCTGCAAATGCAACGTTGCCAAACTCGCCACAACATGGCTATGTTATGTAAACTTGGCAACCATGTTACCCAAAAATATTTTTGTAATCTAATCGTTTTTCGAACATTTAGGTGCACGCTCAGCCGCCTCGCAGTCCCAGGCCGCGCATGAACTCCGCAATCTTCATGTCGAACAGCGGTCCCGGCTTCGACTCGAAGGAGTTTTTCCGTCGACACGGTTCCGTGTCGCGGCTGTGCAGGAAGGCGCGCAGCGTCGACAACATCTCGTTGGACGAGAAGCACTTCGGGTTGCCTACGTTGAGCATTTCGGGGCCGTCGCCGCCCGAAGATGAAGAGTACATCGACGAGACCGAGAGGTTTTTGAAAGAGTGAAATTGTCAGGTGGACATTTTGGAAACGTCATAAAAATCATGTAAGGGTGTCAATAATAAAGTTATTACGGGTGTCACAGAACTCGCGCCACAGAGAAAAAGGAAACATGCCGAAAGTTATGCGAAACACATAACTCCGCGCGTTATAACTTGGCGAAGCTCGACGCATGTGGGCGTAGCCGTTGGCACTTGTTTACTGCCTTCCAGCTAGGGGTTTCCATAAATGTTATATATATTATAATACTTATATATTCTATAATAAATATTTTCTTTTCAACCAATTTTTAATTAAAATTATGAAAAAGCATTGCGTCCAAAGCTAATGCTATGCTTAATTGCTGTTTCAATTACCAAACATTTTTGGTTTATTAGGCACATAAATAATTAATTACTCACAATTTTTATTTAAAAAAATTAAAGACAATAGTTTTATAAAACAGGTAACCGCAATTTCCTTTATAAACCTACTGGTAACGGTTACTAAAGATTATATAAAATGTTTGTAGAAACAATGATATAACCTAATTATATACCTAGAGTTTACAGACTGGGTTGGGCAGTTGAAATTTTCAAATGAAAATTTCAACTTTGAAAGTTTCAAACTTGAAATATTTCATTTAGTTGAAAAAGTGAAATTTTTTAAAATTTCAAATGAAATTTTCAATCCGAAAATTTCAACATTGCCTGTGAAAGTTTCAGAAATTTCATTGAGTTTCGCAATTTACTGAAAATTTCGCATAAATTTCACATGCGGCCTCCCCTGGGACCTTTAATAATAATTTACAACAGATTCCGAATCGACCAATAAGAACGAGTAGAATACACTATAAGTAATTATTTTTACTTATATGCATAAATTAATTTAAATAATTTAATTCAGTTACCAATTTAATTTGTAAATTAAATCAGACTTAATTTTTTTTTAAAAGTCATGATTAATTTATACTTTTACTTTTGCTATAATTGCATCGGAAAACGGATAAAAATGCCTTTGGCTCATAAAATTTTGATGAAGTTTCTTCAATTTTCGTAAAATTTCAGTAAAATATTTAAAAATAAATATATATTAATATAAAACAATGAAAGTGGCACAATCTCATTAGCTTACCATAAAGTGCTATTTCTCTTTTAGTTTTAGTAATTTTAAAAATATTTTAAAAGGAAATATCAAGAAATTTATGGTAAACATAGGTATTTACTATTTATATTATTGGTGCAGGGGCCCACAGAGGGGTAGGAGGTAAGAGAGGCAATTTGCCATGGTCACTGAGTGGGCTTATTTCAATATTAATATATTACACTTAAAGTGATTGAAATTTATTGAAAGTTTCAATAAATTTCATAAATTTCAACAAAATTCATGAAATTTAATAATAATAATAATAATAATAATAGGCTTTATTTCAGAAGACATATACATGTGTAGAAAACGTCAAGGAATATTTCAGAAATTTATGAAATTTTAATAAATTTCATAAATGTCATGAAAATTTCAAGTGAAATTTCAAATACAAGCAAAAAGTAAAATTTTCCCAACCCTATTTACAGTAACCTTATATAACCATTAAAAAACTAGTAAACTAAATGACGATTTTATTAAACCTTGTTAAACTTTTATATAATTTGACTCATATATAACCTTTATATAATTTATCGTTACCATAATTATTACTATTTAAATAGTACAAATTGTTTATTGGGTCTTTAGGAGATTATTTTTGGTAATGTTTCATTTTGATTATATTTGTATTTAGGTATTTTTATAATTAAGGTACCTTAAAATTGTAGTGCTTTGTTAGTAACAAATTGTTACCTTTACTTAAAAATTGTATTTTATACAGGTAAAATATATTACGCCAACTGAGCATAGGGCTGTAGTATGACACGCCGTTTTAACATTTATTAAATAATTTTTTAATTTAAAATTTTATTGGTTTATAATTTTGTATCAAACAATATTATTTCCAATCAATTTTTGCAAAAATCATATCATTTTTTAATAAAAATTATTTCTTATAAGTATAATTTGGAAAGAAAATAGTTTAAAAAATTAATTTTTTTAAGCTCAAAACAATTGATAATTAAAATTTATTTTAAATATAAAAAGCAATTTTTAAAGATTTTTTAACCTTTTAACCCTGTTTTAATTACACAATTACCTAGAAATTTTTCATTTTTAAATTTGGCATCTCCATTGCTCTCTGTGGCGCGAGTTCTGGGATACCCTGTATAATGGAAAGAATACAAATAATTTTTTAATTTACTTAAACCTAACAAATGTTACCGAAATTAAATAAATATTAAAAGGTATACAGAATCCAAATAAATACTAAATATTTTGTGATTACAAATTTTGAGTTTCTCAATAACACCCAGTATAGTACAGTATGATTTAAAGTTAAATTGTTTAAATTTACATAATTATATTAAATTTTATTTAAACCCCACTAAATTTATTAAATGGCAACAGTACCTAATACCTTTTTAATTAAATTCATATTTTAATTAATTTTAAAACCCCATTATTAAAATAAATTTCCACAACCATGTCATTTCGAGCTTTTATGTGTTGCATTGGATTTAAACATGGAAAATTATTTTGAAACAATAAATTAAATATAAGTACATATTTTATGATGTTTCCAAAATAAATTTATAAAAAAACTGAACTAAACTTCCAATGTAATAAACGAATTTTTATTTAAAAAAAATAATAAAATAAAGAAAGAAGCCTTATTGATAACATTTTTTTATCTCAAAATTTTAAAACTCGGCGTTTCTCTTGCAATAAGTCTTTTTTCGTTATTCCAAATCACATGTTTATATCGTTTAGAGTGCTCAACTTATGTATAAGTTCAGTTTTTGTACCAAAAATATTCGTAGCTTTAAGAAAAAAAATCAGCACAAATTGGGGGCCACGCAACGAAATATTTAAGTGAAGAATACGGACTTCCCTCTAAATGTCTTGAAGTTATTCTTTTGTACATACCCTTAGTTTTTCAAGCAGTAACGTAAAATAAGTGAAATAGAAAAAAACACTACAAAAGTGCCAACGTGTATGTGAAATCTCTTTCTGTATTGTATGGACAGCTTTATTTTTTGAAAAATTCATCCAAGAAAAAAACTTGTAGACCAATTTACATTGTGATTTATAAGTACTTTCATAGTCTTTATAAAACGCCCTGTATAACACTAATAGAGTGAAACATAACTGATATTTCTAGTAAAATTACAAGCATTTTTAAGTATAATTAACATATCAAATAAATGACCAAAAAATAAACGAAAAAAAAAATTAATATATTGTGTCAATATTTAACATTAACAAATATGTACCTACTTAACAAGCAAGCTTAATAATTAAATATTTGTGTAACAAACAAAAATTGAACCTTGTAAGGGGACCAAAAAATCGAAAAATAATCAATTGAGCTTTAATATAACATTTCAATAAAAAAAGAATGAGGAATTTAAAAATGCTTGTACTAATCTTATAGCTTTAACTAAATAGTATATTACATTTATGATATTTACATTGAAAACTTAGTCATAAGAGGTCCAATTATATCACAAAATCTCCTAGTAATATTTCCATTTTATTTATGATTATTTTTTATTTTTAACATGTCATAAAATAAACGCCAATAATTTTTGGCGCTTTTCTAGGCCTTGTATAGTTTTCTGTAGTTTAGAATGTCGTTTTCTAAAATCTAAAGAAATATTTCTATATTAGAAATAAACTACCTAGTTTGAAATATTCATTAATATTGTAACAATTTTTCCTATTTCAAAATTAAATTGTAACCCAAGCTTTAACAAAATATTTCTAAATATTCTAATAGCTTAATTAAAATTAACACAGTCAATTATACTTTATAATATTTATAATTTATAATTATCTGTGATTCAATGTAAGGCCTTTGTAAATTTATGTATGTTGCAAAATTCAGGTCACATAAATTTAGCTAAAAAAAATTTTTTTTTACATTTTAATAACAAAATTAATTGAACCTGAATTTTGTACCATTAAAATTGTATTAATTTTTTTTTAATATTTAGCCCATGACCAAAATACTCTTTATTATTTTATATTAATATTTCACATATTATTTGTGTATGCAATAAATCTATTAAGTAAATACAACAAAATTAGTTTTATTAACCCAACAGTTAAAATAAATAAAAAACATTAACTACAGTAATTTATTTAATAAAACTTACGATTAGATATAAAATTAACACATTTTTTATTTTAACACACAAGACGATAGGAAATGTAACGCCCTGCAGTTTCTGAAGGTCTGATAATCTTAACGACTTGTCCTCTTTTTAATCCAAAATATCTAGCGACTGGGTCACCAGCTTGAATCCTCATCAACATATTCTCCTTCAATTTGTACCTCATCAATAATTCCTGTTTTTCTTCTGGCGTCATTACAACATGCTCGGGGACCAACTCATGTTCAGTAATGTTAATCAATAATTCTGCCTCCAAAAATTGTTCCAGGATGTATTTTGGTGCCATGTCAACTAAAGATTGTTTAGCTGATGGCGTCATACCGGCTTGTACGACAATTATAGCCCTATGTATGTTTTCATCTTGCATTCTTTGACAATAAGTCTTGATAGTTTTAATACCAATTTTCGGCTCGTCAGGAAAGAAAACGAACATCTGATCTGTTGGATCGTCATTATGGGCCACCAAAACGATCAAATCTGATCTCGAAGGCCTTTTTTCACTTGGTTTATCCCCGAATTGGGTCTTAAACTGATCCAAAGTTTGATCCAACTCATCTTGTGTGACTAAATAACCTCTATCGTGGCACAACTGCATAACCGTCTTACGGATTCTCCATAATTTGTAGGTTTCGGCTTCGTCATCCATGATTTTATGTGGAAAAACAACCTTTTAACATAAAAAGCGTTGCTACTTAAACTTTGAGGTTAACTTTTTGACACAATTGCTGTCATTTTTCTAAACCAATCAAAAACGCGTATTTGATCACAGCCTTCAACGCGCATGCGCCCAAACAGACGTCAATATTTCTAACCTCTACATCTACGCGTCGTTTCACTTTAATTTTGACAACAAACAACAATAAAATAGTGAATTATTTATTAAAAACCAGCACTCTGTGAAAACCAGTTAAAATGAGTGCACCATGGCAAAACAACGCAGCTCCAGGCTTTGTTTACTTCAGCCCCCAGCAAAATTATCAAAACAAAAACGATAGGTCGGATTTTTTGTCTTTTGATGATTCTCAGGGCCAACAAAATCCTTTTTGGCCGAATATGTGCAGTTCTCCGCAGAAAAATCACAAAAGTCCTAGGAATTTTAAGCAGAGAAACAAGTTTCAGAGGTATTCAGCACCGAGTTTTAATAGGTCAAATAACTCTTCGAATAACAGTTTTAACACTTCGAATAATAGTCCTAGGAAGTGGGATAAAAGGGTAATTAGTAAATTTGGTTATTTTAGCTTAACTAAACAAACATTTTTTTGTAGAATTCAAATGATGGGCAAAGTAATCCCCAAGATGGTATGTGGAGGTATTTTGAACCAAGTTGCTTGAAAAATCCTTGGGAACAATTGGAAAGACAGCAAGAATTACAAGAGAAGCAAGAATTAGAACAAAATAAACAAACAACCAATCAGGACAATGAAAACAGTAACGACTCAAGTAGCAGTAGTAGTAGTAGTAGGTCGGAAAATGAAAATCAAGATATAGCAAAAGTTTAACACATATAAATAAGCTTTTATATCCTGCCACATAAAGAATTTATCACTTTTTTAGAGATTTATTGTATTTATTGTAAATACTGTATTGAATTGTATATTTAAAATTAAATTTTAAATATCTATTTTCTTATAAACAATTGTGCAACATTAATTAGGAATTTTAGCTCGTAATTAATGACAAATGTACAAATTAATTACCTGATTGTATTTTAAGAAAATTATAGATGTAACAGTTAAGAAATTTGATATTTCATAAAGAAATAAATGTTAATACAAGACAATAGTTTACTCACCCCATTTATTGATTTTGGATACTTTACTTGATAAACCTTTATCAAAACAACGTATTTTTCTATTAAAAACCTTTTTTTTCATTATTTTCTTGAATAAAAGCTGTTTTTTTATTCAGAATAGTTTAAAAAGGACTAATAAAGAAAACTGTAATATCTGTCATTTTAATAAAAGATGGCGCTGTAATAAAAGTGAATTAATTAAATGTTTTGTATAATTTTGCCCTTTAAAGAAAAATCTGGTATTGCAAATGAATACTTATTCAAAAGGCCTTTAATACTTTAGAAAAACCCCTAAAAACACGATTTATTACTTTAATCATTGAGTAAAGAACACACTTTACTCAATGCTTTAATTTTGTTTTAACTTCATCATATCTCGCATAGATGGCGCCACGTAAAAACAATAAACAGTCGTATCGGCCATCCTTGTTTTGCGCACTGCAATAAACAAAGACGGCCCGATTCCACAACTTGAAAACTTCGCTGGACTCGCATTTCAAATAGTTCGTATAATCGTACGGTTCGTGCAAGTTAGTTGAAAATCGTTGCGTGAAAACCTGTTGCTTAAAGTGCGTGATGATAAAATCGTGGTGCGTATTTCTCGAAAATTTCGCAGTGAAATAGTTGAGTTTTTGTGAAAGATGGGTCTTGTCGCGTCGAAAGAAGCGCCCATGGCCCAACAGCAGCAACAAGAGGTGGAAAGTTTGAATTCCTCGAGATTACATGGGAGACAAGCCAGTATTAGGCAAAGCACCATGAAAGCTAAGGCCAAACAGCCCATGCCTGAACCAAACGAGCTCGAAAGGAGGTTCACCAAAGTTTTGGTAAATATCTTGAAAACTTAAAATTTTGACACAATCTTAAAATATAGTTTTTAAGTTTTAAGTAAACAAACTTAATTTGGCACATTATCTCAAAACGCAAGGCAGCTATGATTGTACTTAGAATAAATGCAAATATCTCAAAAACTGAGATAGCCATGACTGTCAAATTTTGACACAATGTTTATCAAAGATATCCTTAACTCTATTTCAACTTTCGGGCAAATATCACCAAAACTTCTTCAGTTATAACCAATAGAGTCAGCCATATATCTTGGTACATTAGTAATTGCTTTTATAATTAAAAACCAGTCTTTAGCTTGAACTTTTTGCATTTGTTGTTGTGCAAACCACGTCTCGATGTTTTTAAACAGCTACTCTAATAGACAAGTGGTTTAAAATCGTGAGAAATGCATAAAAACGTGCCGAAATTGACATTTATTATTTATGACTAACTTTTCCCAGAAATGTCACCTTTTAATAATAATGAAGTTTTCTTAAATTAAGTGAGGTGACTTGAAGGTCATTTATGTCAAATTGCAGTTGTTTGTTGTAAATAATCGAATTGGATTTTTCATGGGGGTTGTCTACCCTGTTTTACAATGGTAAACAAGTTTTATAAACGAATTTCCTCGTAAAAAATCCAGACAGTATTTCGAGGTTCAATGTTCCCAAAATGTGAATGAATGGAGCTGATTATAATCAGTAAAGATGCCAAAATAAATATTTTAATATTTTGTTATTTGAATTAACATTTTCGTGCTTTTTTCGATAACGGCTTTATCAAAGGCTTCCATTTATATATTAGCAATGCAAATTTTATATATATTTGCTAATTTCACGCTAAATACGTTGTATTGCAATTTTATACCATGACTAAAGTTGATAAAAAATTGATTACTGCATGAAATCACTAAAAGCGAACTATCTCTGTTAAATTCCTAGACAATTACCGACACTTCAATTACTTAATGAATTAAAAAAGGTTTATTATTAATTTCATAGCGTGCCCTGTCAGAAACGTTATTTACGTGCAACTACCCCGTCGAGACGGGGTTGGAACACTCCCTTAAGGTATTTGACCGCTACCTTTATGGGTATACAGTCTGAGTTCTTTGTTGTCAATTTTTAACCGCATTTAAGTTTTTTACCTTTAAACGTTAAACAACTTTCCGAACCTAAATCTAGTGGCAGTGCAATAATAAATTGTCCATTTTGTTACGTCACGCGATTTGACAGTTGTTCATTTTACAACATAATAAACAGCCTGCTATGAAATGTTGAATAATTTGTTTAGATTGTATTTCGTGCTGAATTTGTCTAATTTTAACCCTTGAATGAATCATAATAGAGTTTACGCGTTCCAAAAATACATCTAAAGTTTTACTTAGCAGGAAACTTATTATTAGACAAGTTTAAGAATAAGTATACCTAGGACTTTTAAGGTTGATTCACCTTTTAAATAATGTTAACATTAAATAAAGCATTAGGTACTTAGCAAATCGTTTAATGCAGCCTATAGGCACGTAGTACCTTTTTATAATTATATCAAGCCTATTTCCGGTAAGTGACACAACAATTGCTTCCTGTGAAAACCAAAAAACCGTGAATTACTGGTGGAAAGTAATATGAAATAAATTTAAATGAATCACACTTTATCTGCATCGACCAAATCTTGGTTTTGTGGTTTACAAAAGTACTCATTTTCAAGGTTGAGGAAAAGAATTAATATACTTACAAGAAAAGTATGTGTAATGTTTGGTTGGGGCTAAAAATAATAGTTTTTATGCAACAGCCATTTAATGATGGCTATTAAGACATAGTATAAGATTTATAGCACATATTGCCCATTAAAGGCCAGTTTCATACACTATTTTAAAAATAAAAACAATATAAAATTGCACACCCTGAAGGTATATTATGTTATGATTTAAAACTAGAAACCAATAATATTCTATAATCTAAAATATTTAATTTCATAATAAAGTCGGGTCATTGATACAAATAGACAATACATATTATTGTATTTATCAAATAATAGGTTATCTATATGAGTGATTTTGTAAAATTGTTTATAATAAAAGTGACTTCACTGCAGTTAAGTTGTTGACAATAAATGTATTGTATACCATTTCCTGAAAATAATAACTAATTAATGTTAATTTTTTTTGGACGATAAAATATAAATAAAGAACGGAATATAAATAAGTTATAATGTAAATAAATATTACTCTATGGTAATATATTTTTTCTACTCCCACCTTTAAAACGACCATTGACAAGTTGTGGCTTTACGGCGTTTTAGTCACGGGCTGAAGTTAGCAACAGGTTTTTAGTCACTTGCTGAAGTTAGTTTTAAGATAGTTGACAGTTGTCAAATGTCATACAATCGTTAAAATAAAGTGCCTTTCTTGTAAAATAATCGAGGGGGTAGTCACTTGCGATTTCTTAGGACAGAAAATCTCCATTTGTGGAGATCTTCTTGAAACTCCGCAGATCTCCATGGATATTCTTGGATCTCCAGGGATATCCTGGGATCTCTAGAGATATCCTTGGATCTCCATGAATATCCTTTGGATTTCCATGGATCTCCATGAATATCATTTGGATTTCCATGGATCTCCGTGTATCTCCTCTAGACCTCCAACCTTCTTTATCTCTGCCTCCATATACAATAACTTTTTAATTTTATATAGAATTAGATCTTGGGATAAAACACGTTTTTGCTGTCAGAAAGTCGTATTTTGATATTAATAATAATTTGTATCCATATTTATAAAATGGATAAATCACAAACTGTTTAGCGGTAGTAAGTAGACTATATTACGAGTGGTTTGTAATACTTTACTCGACTTTACCTTATAATAGTAGATTATGTACCTACCATGGCAGAAAATGGATTATTTTTCTCGAATGACTGTAACGTTAACTAACTCAGTTTTATTTTACCCCCGTATTTAACTCACAACTTGTTATGGTATTTTAGAGGAGATAAAACATAAAATTAATAGAAAAACAAAAAATTAAAACATCAACTTAGTTTTATTAAAATAAAAAAGTTTAACACATGACTAGTTATATACTAAACAAAACATACAATGCAAAAAAACAATACCTATTTAGGTATTATAAAATAACAAAAAACATAGAAACACCAAGATTATTATACAATAACAAAAAACTTATTGTAGAGGAACACTACGTAAAAAAAAACATTATATAATCACCGTAATGATAACTCCGGAGTAATTTGGAATAAACACATAAAATAGGAACAAATTACCACTATAAAATTTTAAGGAACTCGAAAAAAAAACTCTCTCTAAGACAAATCTGAGTTAAACACTTTTTTTTAAAGATTTATGTAGAGTCTGTATTTTTACTCTGTCTGATCTTGACAGTTTCATACGGTGGGTACCGAGCATTGTAATGGGCCCATACATAATTTGAATTGGCTCTATTAGTTGGAGATCATCTTGTTTCGGCCAATAGAATTCTTCAAGGTCTTCTTTCATAAACTTCATTTGAATATTTTCAGTTAGGTTTTCTTGATCTTCATTAACCACCTTCGAGACCACCTTTCCAATATACCACATTTTACCATACATGACTGCATAATAGTGCTCATTTAAAATGTTTATTTTTTGCGTATCACATTCTTCTTCTCTTTCAGAGTTAATGTCTGAGATCTCCGTGGAGTCGTTACAAGAAAACTCATTCGAATCACTTTCAGTCTCACGTTCAGCGCTCGTTTCAGAACTAGATGAATTTCGGCGGGATGTAGAGGGTGCGTTTTTTGCTCGGTTTTTTATTTTGTGTATTTGGTAGCCTTTTTCGTGAGGTTTTTTGTTTTGATGTCTTTTTAATACCACCTCTAATATTAATTTTTTTCTTTCTATTTCTATTTATTTTGAATCTTTCTAATCTATCTGTGCTCAATTTTGAATTTTCATTAAAGAACCAACATAGGGACGATTTTTTAAAGGTTTTTATGAAGCCATTCTCCAAAACAACTTTAAGGAATTGACTGTTATTATCAGAAGGCTTTAGCTTTTTGCCAGTGAAGTCTTTTAGTGTTAGGGATCCCTTGTAAGACTCCAGGTATTCGCTGACATTCTCGGACGGTGAATCGCTATCGTCAAACCGATTTGTTTCATTGTCTTCCAGAAAGTTTTGTATGCTACCGGAACTGTCTTCGTAGTGTTGCACAATATTATCATCTAAATCACAGTCAGGTTCTTCATCAAGATCTTTGCTATCACAGTCTAAATCTTTGATTTCATGCAGGTCAACTATAAAAGGGCCATTCCACGCGTAACGGATAGGACAGTTGCCGTGTTTTTATTTACAAAATAATATTGTTCTATTATATTACCAATGTCAAATTTTTATAAATAGTTCTAAACTAAAGCTGTTTAACAAGGTTTTTATTTGGCAAAATTAGGTATCGTGGTTGACTGTTTAATTCCTTAAAAACTAATAATTTAAAGTGTAACGGACGGGACTTTGTAATAGTCCCGCCAATTACACTTTAAATTATTAATTTTTAAGGAATTAAACAGTCAATCACGATACTTAATTTTGCCAAATAAAAACCTTGTTAAACAGCTTTTGTTTTGAACTATTTATAAAAATTTGACATTGGTAATATAATAGAACAATATTATTTTGTAAATAAAAACACGGCAACTGTCCTATCCGTTAAGCGTGGAATGGCCCAAAAGTGCTTCGAGGAAATGTAAATTGACCCTGCAATTCTGTTTTAACATCTTCTAGGTAATGAATTCGATTTAATCTGTTTAAAATTTCTAGCATACTTTAGTTGACAACCCGAGAATATGTGCTAGTCATGGATCTGGTGGCTCTAAAAAGCTGTTCGCAGGGTTGACTGCTCATAAGCCATGGTGTAAACATATTTGTAGTTAAACTTTCATCCCTAGAAAATTTCTTAATAAGTGATATTATTGCGTGGGCATTTATTTCAATGCAAGTGTAAGAGTTTAATGAAATAAAATTGTCCTTTAATGTATACAAGTCTGATTGCTTAATCCACTGGCGCCATATTCGTAAAATAAACACGCAGTACCAAAGATTGTATAATCTGTCTTCCACTGTCATTTCTTTTTGTAAATAGGCATCCAAAACTCTCTTTATAATGGTTAAGTATAACACAGTTGCATTGCTATCAATAACTTCAGTCTTCAATAATTCAATCACCTTTGTATCACAAATTTTTAGAACGGACGCAAAATTTATTTATCCTCACAGTCGAAGTCTGTCGCTACCAAAAAGTGTAATCCTTTATCAAAATTACATAATAAATATCTTAGGTGGTCGACAGACACAAAAAAATTTCCAAATGGTAACAAAATATTTGGTTTTATTAGTCGGTTTCTTAGCTTTGTGCCTATGTGTACTGTATCTTGCACAGATATAATTTCAGGATCAACGGTGGCATGAAACCATGGCCATTTACTAATTTGTTGAACTGAAGACAATTTAGACATGTATTTCATAACTTTTAACAGGCGACTGTCACCGTCCGAAGACATTCCAATAACTGCTATTCCTTGAGCCTTAGCAATAGATACTGTAGTTCTCCATCTTTTCAGAACATCCTTGGCATTAAATTTATTATCTGAACCATATACGCAGTAACAAAATGAAGAACTTTTGTCTTCTAAAGGTTGTGCAACTAATGCATATGCATAGTTGGCTTTGCTCTCTTCTTTAAATTGTCGTTGTATCTCATGAACTGATGTTGCCTTAAAAGCCTTATTATTTGGATATCCATCTGAGTTGAAGGGTAGTACAAATCCAACATTAGTGTTTGTCGCTGGGCAATATTGAATTCTTCCGTTAATTCTAGTGCCATCTTCGCTTAACCATACTACTTTTCGAAGGTTCCGTTTTTCCAAATTTTACATTCGCCAATAAATAAAACACGGACTACATCTACGCTTTACTCATACAAGTACATTCTTGAGCACACCACTAGCCGACATGTTTGTATACAATTTAGCCGAAAACAGACGTGCACGTGTGGCCGAAGATCTATGGCAAATGGCCACTTAAAATGATATGCGCACGCAATTACGCTTTTCCGATTCTACACGACTGCAGCCGAAGTTCTTGGATCTCTACGTATCTCCACCGGATCTCCACGAATCTCCACATATCTCCACAGGATCTCCACGTATCTCCACCGGACATCCATGTATATCCACGAACCTCTATGGATTTCCACAGATCTCCACATATCTCCACGGATCTCCATGAGATCTCCATCCCCAAAGACAGAAGATTTCCACAGTGACTACCCCCTCGAAAATAATATCTACTAAATGTGAAAATTATTTTATTATCTCAATACAAAAATAAAAAAGTATTAAATAGTTTCTCAACGCCAATATTTAAAAAGTTTATATGAACATTGTACTGACCTTTTAATTTCGGGCACGGACTCCACTGTAAAGTGCTCCTAAAACATTTTCTTTACTTTCACTATAAAAAACTGTCCATTTTCAAGAAATACATTTCGATTTATATCCTTTATAATCTGTGTTTATAAAATAAAAATTTGACATTTGACGGTGACACGCAGATTCCCCTATTGTTTCATAGATGGCGCTCTATGCAAATTTTTGATTTAAATTATTTTAAGATAATAAGTATTTGTCGTAGAAAAAGTATAGTACCTATGCTGGTATAAACTTTTCTATACACTCATTAATTTGACATCTGTCAGGCGAGTTTAACCTTACTTTTTCCCAATTTAATGCACTAGTGTATTAAATCAAGGAGCAGATAAAATAAACAAAAAATATTATAAAACAAGTTTTGTTATTATTTTTTTTTAAATAAATTAGGTAGGTATTTTTCAAAAAATGTTTATTATTTTTAAATTTGTATATCATCTCAAGACTTTTTAGGCAAAAATACACTACATGCGGGCTCATTTTATTTTACTATATTATATTATATTTAATTATATAGGTATGCGGGTAGAAAATAAAAAAAACATAATTGCCTCCTATTTTAATTTTTACCATACTTATTTTGCTACCATATCTTGTTGACTGTTTCCTACGGTTTGATTGGATTTTTTACAAAACAAAACCAGATTGCGATAGGCTTAATGCCCAATGGCAACTAGTTTCTGATTGGATGGATTGCGAGTATGCACAGTGTACAAAAATAAATTTTTAGATTTACTAATATTTTTTCATCTTTAAGCACATTAAAATTGTTTACAAATGTAATTAAAAACATATTTTACACGATGTTTATGATTATATTTATTATGTATGTATTAGGTTATTTTTCCATGTAAAGTTGCGTTTTAGCCTAACGTTGTATAGTCTTCAGGCAATACATTCTTCTTCCTACTTGGGATTTATAATATTTTCGCAAAAATAACACAACATTAAAAAAACTAGAAAGCATAGATAATGCCAAATAAACATAATATTTAAATTATACGCTTAAAGCTACGCTTAAACATATGCCAATAAAAACAAAAACACTACAACTATTTTTACTGTTTATTTTTCACGGTTTGGTAGACAAAACGGAACACGCCAATTCAGTGCATTTAATGACACAATTACGTCATTATGTAATAGACAAAGTACGTACAAGGCAATGCAAAAAATCAAAACTGTATTTCTTTTAAACAATTTCCCAAAAAACCGTCCTATAAATATTGTTAATGGCCGCTTTGTTGTAAAAAAGGTAAAAAAGATATTTTAAATTTAAATAATAAAAACATAACTTGAACTTCTTAATGAGAATGGGAATAGGGGAAATATTAAATGAATGGCAAAACTTTTTGAAACAATGAAATAAAACTTTTAGACTGTTATTTTCTCGAATGTCTTTCTTTACTTGTATATTATTTTGTTTTGACACATTTTCCAGAGTTCTATTTGTATAATTTATAACTTTTTGAGTCATTTATTTATTAAAGATTAAACTTATCTCTTCAGTGAATACTATTCTTAGTATTTGCTGTATAAATAATAGTAAATATTAATTTTTATTTGAAGATTTCTTAAAATCAATATATGCAAAATGTAATGTTGGGGCATTCCAAAAACCATTAACTTCATTCATTACTGAGCCTGGAGTTTGCTTTAATGATTTGAGATAATGTTTATTTATTCGGAAACGCATTAAAATTAACATAAAGTCAACATTCCCGGTTTACTTGATAACTGACATCTTATAAGATTTTTTTCTACTTTATAAAAGAAATTCTTTGTTTTCTGTTTTCAGTGTATCGATTCGGTGAAGTAAATTGTATTTTTTATTATTTCAGGCCTCTATGGACTTACCACCAGACAAAGCAAAGCTTTTAAAAAGCTACGATTCCGAGAAAAAATGGGACATAATCTGTGATCAGGTAGGAAAATGTTCAATAAGAATTTTTGTATTCATTTAAAAAAAAATGTTATTGATAAGTATAAAGGGATGAAAATAATGATACATGTTTTACATTTTGTAGTTTAAATTCTTAAATGTTTTTGAACACAAAAAAAATCCAAAGCATTTAGATCCGGCTATCTTGGCGGCCACGTGACATAGACTTACTTAAAAATTAAAAAAAATATTTGTTTTGCATATTTTTTCTGCTTTTTCTGCCTTTACCTATTACCTATTACATATTTATGGTATACCAATTGGTTATATAACCAATATAAATTAACCTGCAATTTTATTCAAACCATTAAGCTATTTTATTGGGTTTAATTTAAGTACTTTATTAACCTATTATACCTAATAAATTTTATCTCCACGCGGTCTATAATTTAAACTTTATTGTTGTCAACATTTGATAAAGAAATACCTTGTTATGGCCTAGGCCGATAAAAATTTTTATGAGGCAAGTAATTAGTTCGATTTTTTCTCGCTAGGGGTATTGTTTTGACAAATTAATCCTTTTCTAAGAAATTAACGTACCAAACTGGTTTAATTTATTTATAATAAGCACTAATTTGTTTGTTTTACTGTTAATGTTTAATATTTTTCATTATATTATTGTAAAATTAAATATGAATAATAAAACAAAAAGTGAGGTTAGGCAACCAAGAAAACGCACGATTCTTTTTCTACGATTTAAATTATCTTTAAGTTTTAATTTGCTTTAAGTTTTCAGTGAAATTAAATGTTACACAGCTTAAACATTCCAAACTACCTATTTAAAAAAAAAATCCGAACAATTGAATTGAATTGAATTCAATGTAATAGCAAAAATCCATTTCTACTTAAATCATGTAGCTAGGTATTGTCAAACTATTACTGCTTCTAAAAGCAATAATAATTATTTTACATTTAATGTAATCTTTAGCTACTAAATAAATGAGATTCCAAAAAACTATTACTGCTTCTAAAAGCAATAATAATTATTTTACATTTAATGTAATCTTTAGCTACTAAATAAATGAGATTCCAAAAAAAGTGAGGTTAGGCCGCTTTGATGTTGAATTAAATTGACCCATATAAAGTGCTTTGAAGATGTTGTATGCCATTCGGCCAAGAAGTGCCTTTTTGTGCTTCGCTCAATTGTAGGCTTCAAACCTTAAGCTTAGCACAAAAAGCCTTACTTCTTAACCTAATGACATAAATAACTATTGCCATCTTTATTTATAGCATAAAAACTAATAGACATAATTCAATCCTATATAACAATCTATTTACCAATAGGAAAGTGTCATCTGCATTTCTCAACAGCAACTTAAGAAATGTGGAAATACTTCGCATTTAATTTTTTTTAACTTTCCTTTTAGAAAATCGACTTAATAACTTAAACGCAATACACTGCAATGGCTGTGCGTGTCATTACTTCCCCGATAAAATCTACTAAATGTCATATTTAAAATTCATATGTATACTGCATGCCATTGCTGAGTAAGCATCTGATTCCTTGACTTTTTTAACATTTAACAAAAACTGTAAAATAAGCAAGTTAAAGAGCCATCATCAAAAATGCCGAAGGTCAGAAATAATTGACCTGCAGAGCTGAGTCACGTCAACTTAACTTTTAACTTGGATACGATCTAAGTGCGGTCTCACTAAAATGGCAAACAAAGAACTCCAGGCTAAAACGATTGATCGACCCGTATGGGTTTCTATTGTGTTCGTTGGTCTAGATTTTCTTGCAAACGTAGATCATAGTTAGCATGGGAAAAATAGGTGAATTTAGTTTGAGAGTGCATAAATTTTCTTGTTTGCATTGGACAAATGCCAGAGGCAGGAGTATTTGGCGCCATTAGTCTTAAATTGCAGAAATAAACCTAAAAAAGTTTGATATAAAAAAATATAAAACATTGCCTTCTATTTGTTATAAAAGCAGCAACCAATTTACTAAAAATGGTGCTAAAACAATACACGGTGCTGATCTGAGAGGTGATTTTTGGACTTTCTGGTGAAACCTAATTTTTTTTATATTCTTGTTAATTAGGTCATAACTAAAATTTTAAGAGCAAAAAAAAAATTTGACGGTTTGAATGGTTTTAATAAACAGCCAATTAGGCTGTTTATTAAAAATATTATGCACTCTTTCAATTATCCAATTAAAACTAGCGATTTAATTTAAATATTTAATATTTGCATAACTAAAAAAAAGGTTTTTACGGTTTTTACGGTTTTTACAATTTTTTTTATATATTTTACTGTTTTGTTGCAATAAACGTTCAAACTTTTAATCTAACCTTTGACGTATACATTTATGTTCCCTTAATTAATATATCCTTAAAGGTTGCCATGAAACTTAGATCTATTAAAAATTTATTTGACGTTTGAATTGTCATTTTCAGTATACGTATTCTATAATTTTTGTTTAGTTTTTTAAAGTGTTTTTTTTAAACAAAAATGAAAAATTGTAGTAAAAGTTACGAAGAAATTCATGAAATTTAACTAAGGACCGGTTTATTCATCTTTAGTAAAGTTTATCGGGCCGATAACTTTCATGTCTTGGCAATATCTAGTATCCAAAGAAATTATTCGTCAAATAAATCAAAAATGAATAAATCGGCCCTAAATAAAATGTGGCACCCTCAGAATTATTGTTTAATAAATGTATACTATACATTTAACCTTAAATTAAAACTTTAAACGTGTATTACAACAAAACAGTAAAAGATATAAAAAATGTATAGACCTTTTTTTAGGAAATTAACTAATCTTTAATCTGATTTAAAAAGTTATGATAATATTTAAATAAAATCGCAAGTTTTAATTGGAGAATTGAAAGTGTGCATACATATTTTTAACAAACATTCAATTAAAACAAAATTAACCGTCAAATTTTTTTTATTTTGCTCTTAAAATTTTAGTTAGGTATGACCTAATTAACAAGAATATAAAAAAAATTAGGTTTCACAGAAAGTCTAAAAATCACCTCTCAGAACAGCACCGTGAATAACAACCACAAATTGTCTGTAAAAACATTTTTTTAATTTTCTCGTCGATAAATAATTTTTTTGACCTAAGATAGCTTTTACATATGCATTTTTAAAGGCATTATCTTTTCGCTTAAAACTAAGCCCAATGAATATTTAATAGAATGTCTGAATGCCTGTTTATACGGTAAGCTTTAAGTCTTTTTTTATTTACACCCTTTCAAAATACCTTAACGCATTCTAGGACGTTGACCTAAACGCTTACAAAACACCGCTGTTAATAATCTTTTTAACGCTGTTTCGAGATAAGATATTAAAAAAGAAATTCCAATAACGTTAGTCAAGATATTACCAAAATAAATAAATAAATAAATAAAAAAAGTGACAGCGAATTAAAAATTTATATCGTGAAGTGGATGAGTCATAGTTTATGACATGGTTTTTAACTTTACGTTCGGCGTCTGGTTAATGGCCACGTTTTGAGTGGGCCAAGGTTGGACACTGAAAAAAATTTACGCTAAAAAACAATTAATTTAATTAAAATTTAGATTAGATTTATTCATGGCAATGTCGTAATTACATTAAAAAATTAATATCTAAAAATGAATTAGTCAAAAATGACTAATTTAATAATTATTAGTGGCTGCTTTTTCACTTGTACCATGGTATCCCAAAATTTAATGTAAAATTGTCCCCTGAATCCTAAAATGTCGTCAAAAGTTAAAAAAGTAGAACAGTTTTTGAGATATAATCAATTTTCCATTTAATATGGAATTGACTATATCTCAAAAACTGCTCTACTTTCATAATTTTTGACCGTATTTTCGGATTCAGCGGACAATTTTCCATAAGAATTGGCCGTTAAATTTTGGGATACCATGGTATCCCATGGTTAACCATGGTACAAGTGAAAAAGCAGTCACTTATAACTGTATTAGTCATTTGTAATTAATTTTTAGAGAGTAGACAAGGCAATTTTTTACAACTCTATTTAAACTTTGTTTTCTGGTAAGAAAATAATTGATTCGGTGAGTCCAAAATTTAAAATTTTTACAAATTATTAGTTTAAAATGCATTTTTGTGAGAATGTTTCAACTATTGTACAAAATATGGTTACTTAGTATATTTTCTCAAAAAAAAAATGCATTTTATAAAATAACTTGTAAGCAATTTAAATTTTGGACTTGTACTGTTCTTAAACTCACCGATTTAATTATTGTTTTGGTTAAATAATAATTATAATAATTATTTCATTATTAGCACATTTTTTAAGATTTTAAAGATTAATTAAAAATTAGACAAGGCATTTTTTTACAACACTATTTAAATTTTAGTTCCTTCTAAGGAAATAATTATTGTTTTGGTTAAATAATAATTATAATAATTATTTTATTATTAGCACATTTTTTAAGATTTTAAAAATTAATTAAAAGTTAGACAAGGCAATTTTTTACAACTTTGGTTTCTGCTAAGAAAATAATTATTGTTTTGGTTAAATAATATTTATAATAATTATTTTATTATTGACACATTTCTTAAGATTTTAAAAATTAATAATTAAGAACCTCTAACGAATATTTTTGGAATAAAAAAGCTATAAAAGAGTCCCAAATTCGAAAATTTATAAAATTTGCATAAAAAAATTAAAATATTTCAAATTTAGGATTTTTTAATTTAAATATTTAGAACTATTTCTAACAAACATTGAATCTTATTCCATTTAGAAATGGTTGTATAAAACTAGGTTTTTGAAATAAAAAAGTACGTGTCATTTTTTTCGCATTTCAGGCAAATTTAATTTTTTTCTTTAAAAACACCTGTTTTTATAAAAAATATATTTATATATTGGTGAATATATTGAGATGTCCCCCAAGTGCAAGAATTTTAAGAAATCATACATTTTGAATATTAGAACTTCACGGAGGTTAGGATTTCGTATGGTTTTTTTTAAACATCCCTTTGTTTATTTGAAATAAGTTATTGTATCTTTTGATACGTTAAT